ACAGAAGTGAATGTCTTATGTATTGTGGTATCCGTTGTTCACAACATCTCGTATTCATACGAGTCATGCAATTATAATGAATTTCATTGAATGGCAAACAACCGTTTAAGGAACATACCTGTCAACACTAACGGATATCACTTTTAATCTAGTATCATTTGGTTTAATTATTTTCATTTTTACATAACATCATAATATTATTGTGATATGAGAAACCCAGTTCTTAATAGTACCATCTGACTATGAAAATAGACTGTAAATCTTATAGTATTTTAATTTTATTTTGTTATTAAATCAAAAATCAATACCAATTTTTGAGTTAGTTGTGATCACTCGTGGATTGCACTCAATTAGCAAACAAAACTTTAGGACTTGAGATACTTATCCCAAAGATTTCAATTCTGAAATCATTTTATAGAAACATGTTTTAAATACTTTGAAAACAGGGCTAGAATTGGACTCGAAAGCCAAATGAATGAATCCCAATATAGAAATTGATTTTACTTATATAATCACAACTTTTATAATAATTTCACAAAATGAATTCATCTCTCATTTCAATTAATCCCTTTAGTAACTGAATATTCAAAATATTTTTCATTAATGAATTAACTTGCACATCAATTATGCTATTTGTCGTAATATATGTCATATTTTATATTTTCACCGCAAAGTAACGGTAATGTAGTCGTGCCGTCCAGACGTGTTTAATTTGGTTGTATTTAATGTTTAGTCATTACAAATGTGTTTATACTAAGCCCTGTCATTTGATAGCAAAAACACATTTATGTTGTAAAATAAAAAATACAGTTTAAAGTTGGCTAGATATCGCATACATTATAATAGCAATTTATATATTGAGAATTATTTTCTGATATTTATAATCATAAAATTTGCTTATTTATCACTTATTATCATTTGTTATCACTTTGTTTATTATAATTAATTTATTGATTGTATAATATGCTTTTTAATTATAATGTAAATCACAAACATATTTATTAAATATAACATTAATTTATAAATTTATTTTATTTAATTTGATTAGATGTTTACTATTTATCGAATATTACTTTTAATTATTTTGGCAATCATTATTTATTAATGTGTGTTAATGCTAAAATTACAGTTTAAAAAGTATATTTCTAGGAATACTTCAACAATTGATAGTACATATGTTTTCTTAAAATTTTATTAGATTTAATAGTTATTCAATTATTTAAGGTATATCATTTCATAATGGTATTAAATTATATATTACTAAATGTGTTGTCAATTGAGTTTATTGAAAATTAGTTATAAAATGATTAAAAAATAATCTAAATTATAAATCTCAATAATAATTTATTTTAATATCAGAATAAACATATTTATAATTAATTTAAAAATTAATAATGGAGGAGGGTGATAAAATATTGGGGAAGTCTCGGTGGGACTATACGAATATTTTTCAAAAAATATTTCTAATGTAAGTATTAAATTGTCTTGCTCTTATTTTAGGTAAATAGATAATTGTATCTAATTTTAATTATGTGAATTAGTTTATGTTATTTAAATTAAAAAAATAATAATTTACAAAATGAAATTAATATACTGATAATAATATTCACTAAATACACACTAATTAGTGAACATAATGATAGATCTATGGATGCAGTGATAACTCAAATGTTGCCTTGTTCAATATTGTATTTTGTGTTGACTCGTGAGTTTATCAAGCACTTGTTTACAGTTATACACGCTGTTGGCATACCGGTGCTCAATAAAAGTTAAAACTACATAAAATAATTCCTAATAAATATTATTAAATACATATAAATTTTTAAACAAATATTTCAAATTGTTTAGATTTTATTCAATTTTATTACTTGAGTCTGTCTATCAAGTAGATTAAATGGTGTAGATAATATAAAATTATTTTTATTATCAAATAAATAATTTAAAAATGTAAGTGGTTGTCAACAAAGTAATTTTCATTTTAAATAAAGTATACGATAGATAGACAAAACACAAAAACATGAAACAATAAAAGTTAGAGCATAATATACAAATTAATTTTGGTATCAAATTTATTCTTAACATTATAAAAACTTTATATAGTAATTTCAAAACAAATTAGCTGATTAACTAAAATAAGATTTCCTAAATAATCATTATTTCAAACATTATGATCAAACAGATTCCCGGTGTTTATGACGGGTTGGCGAAAGAATGGTCTCAATGTAGACGACCTGTTCCGGTGCTCCCGACACGACGAGTCACAACGGATTGTCCAGGAGCTGGAAAAGTAGGTATGGGCTCATGGAGTCTAGTAAATCAGTCATTCATATGGAGCCGGGATGGGAGGGAGGGCTGATTAGAGGTATACTAAATTGTGACTCCATATCAGGCACTGGAATAATGAACGTCAAAAAAAGTCATCCAAATTCTGGAGGGCATTAGTTATGGCATTCGGGAAATACTATATACCGCCCCTCACTTTATTAATATTGGGGGTAAGCGTATAATTTCAGATAATTAAAACCACCTGGATGCTCAATAAACATGAATAATTTCATTAAATAAAATGTTAAAACCTTTTGTTGGTAGGAATGCATTTGTCGTATATGTCAGCCCCTGCTACTAGGCATAGTGATAGACCATTTTAACAAGGTCGAAAATCGTACCTTTAAGCAAGCATGCATGGCCGCCGGGGGAGTATGTTTTTGTACGGCCTTGTTCATATTGCTACACCATTCGGCCACCATTATAGTCATGCGAATGGGTATGAGATTACGCGCCGCTTCCTCTACTCTTATTTATAAGAAGGTATAAAATTTTATAAAATTGGTCAAGGGGCAATTTACATGCCTTTTGTAATTAGTCGCTTAAACTGAGCCGGGCATCTCTGGCCAAAACCACAGTGGGCCACATTGTGAACCTAATGTCTAATGATGTCAGTCGATTTGATGAGGTATGGGCTATATTTGTGAGGCTAGTAGTAAATGGATTTTATTAATAATTTGTTTTTTTAAATACAGTTTTCAATATATGTCTGCTATTTACTCGTATCGCCCATACAGACAGGGATCGCCGTATATATCATATATACGGAGATCAGTTACTATTGCTTCGTAGGTTTGGCCCTTTTATTGCTGTTAATACTGTTTCAGGCATTTATGGGCAAACTTTTCTCGAAAGTCAGGTTTGAGTGGAATTTGTGACACAACTGGCGGTCAATATGTTTGGTCTAATAATTAGTTGTTTTTGTGTTCAAATCATAGGCTAATGACCGCTCAGTTAACGGACAGTCGACTGCGGCTCATGAATGAGATTATATCGGGGATGCGAGTCATCAAAATGTACGCCTGGGAGCAGTCCTTTGCCAAACTGGTGGCCACCGCTAGAAAGTATGTCCGAATGTTATAGTTATAATTAATAACCTTTTAAAATTGTATGCAAAAATTATATCGGTAATAGATTTTAAAAATGCGATACACTTTTCAATAAGGTGGAAAGTTGAAAACTCAATGATAAATAACAATTATATATGAATAACCAAGGATATTTACTATAAATAGGAATGAGGTCCTTGGCATACGGCGGGCCCTTTTTCTGAATGCTTTCAATTTGTCGGTATATTTGGCGGCCCCCCGGGTAATACTGTTTGCATGTTTTATGGCATACGTGTTAAACGGGAACCTATTGACCGCAAAAGCGGTGTTCATCACAATGGCTCTGTTCAATACCCTAAGGACTACTTTGATGACACAGTTTCCCTATGCCATCGCCCAATGGGCTGAACTCACGGTGTCGTGCTCTCGCATCCAGGTATGCAATAAAACTGCTAAAATTAGTAGAGATTTTAAGTTTTGTACTTAAAATACTTGAATAGAAATTACATAGAATACTTGTAGATACTATTGTATACTGTATGATACTATATGATGCTAATTAGATAATCAATGAACACGCTTAATACAATCAATATTAGTACAGTATTTGCAAATATTTAATTAATTACAAGAATATATCTCATAATCAGTTATACTTGTATTAATTAACTAGAATATATAAAATATTATCTAGACATTCTTGGAATTGGGGGAAATGGAGCCTAAAACATATAACACTAAAGGTTTGGATGATTTAGCTGCTTTCCCCAAAACAAATGCCAAACCAAAAGTTATTGTCAATAATATATCCGCCAAATGGAGTGAAGTATGAAATATAGTAAACATTGCAATATTTATACTGTACTAGCTAATATTTATTATATGTAATCAGGGCAGTCCTTATGCAACCATTCAAAACATTTCATTCAATATAAAACCTGGAGATCTATTAGCGGTGATTGGACCGGTAGGTTCGGGAAAGCTATGTTTGTGTTGATTATTAAATAAATAAATTTAATAATTTAAATTATTTTATAAATTATTTTTATAGAGTTCACTAATCATGTCTATACTTAATGAGCTACCGGTGAACGAGGGAAGTATACAAACAGTGGGCACCATTAGCTATGCCTCTCAGGAGGCCTGGAGTTTCAATAATAGCGTCAGAAATAACATACTGTTTGGGAGTGAATACGATGAGCACCGGTATAGACGGGTAGTGCATGTCTGTGCTCTGGAAAGGGATCTCCAGATATTCCCCTTCGGAGACAAGACATTAGTCGGAGAGAAAGGGGTCTCACTATCGGGTGGACAGAAGGCTAGGATCACTTTGGCCCGGTATGGCATTTACGGCACCGGTAGTCTATACGACAATCCTATTGACTAAAACAATGCATTCTTTGCAGAGCTTTGTATCGCAACTCAGATATCGTACTAATGGACGACCCGTTGAGTGCTGTCGACACCTCTGTTGCCGAACATATATTTGATAAGTAACGCC